TTCTTTGTACTACTGCACTGTTAATTTACATATTTTAACAATAAATGAAAAGTCTAAATTTCAACATCAGATAAATGGCTGCAAAAAAAACCACAAAAAACCTAGCAAGAATGTCACAAACAAAAATACAGAAATTGAAGCTACTTCAGGCTCCAACTTGTGGCAAGCAAAAATGAACACAATAGCAGGAAGCTGGACATTCCCTGGAAGAAATGCTACTAAGTAATTCAGCGTCTTCCTGAATCTTTCTCCAAGCATTTCAGGTATTAGGCAATTTGTCCCTGGCATGCATCTAGAGCCACTGTGTGGCTGTGAAGCAGCCACTAGCCAGGAGAGTACCTAAGATCTTGGTAAGTCACACCCAAAAAGATTGATCAGCCTTCTGACAACAAAATAAAAGAATGAACTAAACCACTATCCCGTCCTTCGAAGATACTGCAGACCTTTACAAGCAAACGTCTATTAGCTTTTGCCCAAAACTAACTGAAACCTAAGGGTCCGTTTCTACTAAGGACCCTCAAAAACTTATTTTATATACACACACAAATCTAAGAAGAAAACAGTATTTCACTGGTGGCTGTGTAAAGATTACTTATAGCCATACAAATTTGGTGGTTTAAATTGTGACCTCAGGTTTTTTGACACTGTCCCAAAGATAGATTCCTCCCTTCCATTTGGGCTCGCCTCCGTGACTCACTTCTAACTGACGCAGAGGAAGTGACCCTGCTGGCTACAATAAAGGTGCTGTGGGTTGTATCCAAAAAATCTTTGTCCACCCAGAATCTATAAATGAAACTATGAAAAATCTATTTAGAAACAAGGTCTATGCAGCTGTAATTAAGTTAAAATGAAGTCACGAGGGTGGATCCTCAATCAACAGGACTGAAGAGAAGGGGCAAGGATACAGAAACGCAGAGGAAACGTGGCTGTGTGAGGACAGAAGCAGAGGCTGGAGTGGTACGTGCAAGTCAGCAATGTCACGGGCCACCAGCCAACACCAGGAGCCGCACAAGGCGAGGCAGGATCCTGCCACAGAGCCCTTGAGGTCCTGCTCACGCCTTGCCTTTGGATTTCCAAGCCTTCGGACCATGGAAGAATAAATTTTAGTTGCTTTAATCCACCCAGTTTATGGTAATTCTTTACAGCAGTCCTGGGAAACTCTTACAAAGGTGACGGCTTCCTCCTGGCTCATTCCCGCCCTCTCTGTCAGGGCGCGTGGCCTGGAAACCTGGCCTCCACGCTTCAAGGGAGCCAAGCAGCCGGGTGGAAAAGCCACACGTGGGGCGTCAGCCCCGGCCCCACTAGTCTCGGGCCACTGATCACCAGACACATGAGTGAGGAAACCTTCAGGTGATGCTGCCCTCAACCTTTGAGGTTCCCAGGTGGTGACACAGTGTGGAATAGACACAAGTTGTCCCCACTGAGCCCTCCCACATAGCATGCATGTGAGCAAAATAAACATTGTCTGTCATGGTCTTAAATCACTGTGTTTTGGGGTAATTTGTCATGCAGCAAGAGATAACCGAAATAACACATGCATGTGTAATCCTGTCCACCAGAATCAAATGTAGAACTTCATATCCAAAACCCAGCCACCTAAGCCAATCAGCTATCAAGGTAATCTACTGAAGTCCCCTTCAGCAAACATTTATGAAGAATTCTCTTATCTTGAACTATGCCTCTGATTTTTTACCTTTGAAGTAGTTGTCTCAACATCCCTAAAGTAATACTGCATAAGAAGCCAACAGTTTTGGGGTCTTTTTTAATGATGTGCAAAAACTAGATGTGTACAAATATTTAACCATTTAAAGAACCTCCTTTACATCCTACAATTTTCATGGCATACCCACCTGCATCACAATGATCTGAGAACTTTCAAAATATGGTGCCCGCGTGTGTGGTTGCGTGCATATAATCTTTAAAATTAAAAAAAAATTCTATATTCTCGGAGGCCTAACACCCAAAGAATCTGACCCAATGTGTTTTTAAAATCTGTATTTTTTTAAATGAGCAAGATCCCAGGTGACTGCTCCGGTTGAGGGCTGATTGCTCTGAAACCATTTCCGTAACAAGTTAGTTCAAAACTCCAAGATGGGGGATAAACAGCAAGTCCGTGTGATGAGCTGAATGACAACTCTGCATCGCGAACACAAGTCGCGGAGGCCCTCACAGGGGGCTCGGCTGCTGGCCAGACAGCGAATTTGACTGGCCTGAAGTCACACAGCTGAGGAAAACGAGACTTGGACACACGTCTGCCTGACCACACCCCGTGCCTTTCACCACCACACCAGGTCGCGGTTACAATCCTCCTGGAGCTAAGAAAGTTACACCTGCCCCCAAAAGGAAAAGAACTTTATATCACATATCCTAAAAGTTGAAAACTCTAAACACAAAGGGGATTTCCATTCTTTTTCAATGGCTCTGTTTTTCAAATGTGTATTTTACCCTCTTTACTGGAACTGTGTCAACATACACCTGAAGATGTTCACTGTGACTACAAGAGCTCCCCTCCCCTTGGGCCCCCTAGCAGTTCTGAACCTGGGGATGGGGTGGGAGGGCTCTGATCACACATAATGCCCCCTCTGTTAGAAAACAAACATCATAAACTGAAGCATTGAGAACAGAGGTCAAACAGTCGCCTGGTTCCTGGCTAAAAGATGTTTTCCCTCTTGTTTCTTTCTACAAGGGAAGATGTTCTTAGGAAAGAGCTAGTCAGTCATATTTTAAAGAATTCCAATTTTTGCTCTTATCTCCAGAACAGATTGCACTCAAATGAACCAGCATTTCTATCTTAGGACTTGCCTGTGGTAAGGCTGCTTCATTGACTACATTACTGGAATTCTCCAGAACAAATGGTTCTGTGCAGCACATTGTCTGAGGCTTCTGCCCACATGATACAGAAGCCCAGGTGTTTATGTTTCAGAGGGGACTGGAGCCCCCCCCCCAGGCCCGTACCCTGGCCGGGGCAGAGTGCCCATGAGCAGCAACTGCCCTGCTACAACCTCTTTCCCCATCGCCAACCAAAACATGCACCCACACTTGCATGCAACACACAAAAATAACCAGAATCTTGGAGGAGTATGAAAGAGATTAGTCCAGAATTTTGGATTTCATGGTTCTGGTAAAATATCAGGAGCATTTGACAGACTGATGGAGTTAAAAAAAACAAAAACAAAAACAAAACTAGGACACTTTAAAGTAACAACCAAACACACACACACACACACACACACCCCCATCACTATTATTTCAAAAAGAAAAAACTAAAAGCAAAAATGTAGAATGGCCAGAAGCTTAAAGTAAAACACAATTCTTTCCAAGGAAGAGATAATTAAATGTTCAAGTAACGACATACACCCAGTTGGGGAGGCAAAGGAAACCTCCTTATTCTTCCTCACCCCTTACCGATGGGAAAAGCTGCTCTGACTGGCCCCAGACCCCGCTCCTTCAGCCAGCCACTGAAGAAGCACTAAACCAGCGCGAGCAGTCCTTCCTCCCTGCCCAGCCCAGGAGCCCATCTCAGCCCAGGCCCCATGGGGCGATCCTGCGGGTGTCTGCTGGGTCCCCTCTCCAAGCCCAATGTCCCCCAGTTCCTGTCACACTCCTTCCTAACCAGGCAAGGGGCCAAGGTGCCAGAGACGTTCTCTTGCATGTCCTACAAACCCAAGATGGAATTTCTGCAAACTTGATTCCTTGAGAATAAATTCTCCTTCCTCCAAAATGTTCTTTAAAGGGGTTCTGTCTGTGTCCACCTGTGAGAAATGCCTAGGTTCTATTCAGTTAAAGGGGATTTCACCGACACAAATACTGTCACTGCATGTGAGAAAAATAAAGAGAAACTAGGAAGCACTTTATTATAATAGCATTAAAATTGGAACAATTTCCCAGAGGAAAAGTATATTCATGAATATGGGACGTACTATGCAAATGAAAAAATTATATTTCTAGCCCTGGCTGGTGTAACTCAGTGGATTGAGTGCCAGTCTGTGAACCAAAAGGTCACTGGTTCGATTCCCAGTCAGGGCACCTGCCTGGGTTGCAGGCCAGGTCCCCAGTAGGGAGCACATGACAGGCAACCAAACACACATTCGTGTTTCTTTCCCTTTTTCCCTCCTTTTACCCTAAAAATAAATAAAATCTTATTTTTTTAAAGAAAAAATTGTATTTCTCCTGTTTTTATACCAGTTAGGTAAGAAAAGTCTGAGGCCCTACATAAAAGTGGCTCATTTTCTGCTGCAGTGCTAGCCACAAGTTCATACTAAAATCAAGTACACTTTCAAGATAATGGATCTCAGGATACAACCTCCTTCCAATAAATCAAGTCTTTCAGAGCTAGTGGTGCATGTATTAGTAAGGGCCAAATCCTTTTAGGTAATAAATACTCATGAATTTGATGCACTTCAGAAAAGAAGACATTAGTACTTGAACCATTATCCAAGTTAATAAACAAGAAAGTACAGTCAGCCATTCCTAAGAAAAACAGAAAACACTGAGACATATAAAGCTTAGATGTGTTAATTAGCAGGAAGCCCCTTTTTAATGTGTGTAGGATCTGATTTTTTTTTTTTTAACTTAAAATCCACAGAAAATCCTACTCTCTGTTAGTTCTTATTTAGAGGTCTGCAACCCTTCCAATGCATGAGACTTAACGAGGGCACAAATGTTCTTCTTCTTTGAGACAAACATCCAGCACAGGCCTGGCATAGAATTGAGACTAACACACGTTTGTAGAGGAAAAGAGCCAACAGGAGGATAAATCTGATGCTAAGGTAGTTCTTTTGCATTTCTTTCCTTTATCACCATTGCAAAGGGTTTTACAAGAAGCCCACCCAAGGCCTAATGGGCAGATGTGATGAGATACTCAGAGCTTCATCAAGAGGCTAATTCCATACACTTATATAAATATACACACGGCCAGCTTATCCTCCCACTGAGAAGACCTGGAGAGTGTGCAAACTGGTATTCGGGACAGATGCGGAAGAAAACAAAGCAGGCCTTGCCTTCTCATCCTGGTGTAACTTGTTGACGCTCTCCATCTGAAAGTTGTGGCTGGACTGGATTTTGTCGAGCTGTTCCCGCTGCTTCTCCAGCTCTCCCTGGAACTCGTTCTTTTTCAGCTCCACGGCTCCTCTCTCGGCGGCCGCCCTGCGGACCCTGCCTTCCAGCTCCATGATCTGTGTCTACAAGGACACCACAGCATAAAGGCAAATGTCAGGCCATCCCTGCAGACCAGACCACCTGAGCGAAGACCACACAGGACGCAAAGCCAGCAGCAAGCCTTACACACACAGTGTGTTCCCAAGGCTCAATCTTTAAAGTTGACTGTAGAGAAGCTACAGCAGGTTTTTCTAGAGAAACGGTCTAGAAGCAACAAATATGTCTATGCTGCATGTCTCCATGGAAACGCCCCACACCCCTCACAGGGAGTTTGTGAGGTTTAAATAAAATAAGTACATTTGCCCTGGCTGGTGTGGTTCAGTGGACTGAGTGCAGGTCTGTGAACCAAAGGGTTCGATTCCCAGTCAGGGCACGTGCCTGGGTTGCAGGCCAGGTCCCCAGTGCGGGGTGCACACGAGGCAACCACACATCGATGTTTCTCTCCCTCTCTTTCTCCCTCGGTTCCCCTCTCTCTAAAAATAAATAAATAAAATCTTTTAAAAATAATAAAATAAGTACATAAAATGCCTCACGGTTTACCTGGTGTGAGCTGGTGCTCAAATATTTTGTTCTTTTCCCCACTGACAGAGCACTTAGCCACTCCTGATCAGACAAAAGTTCTATTCACTTCTCCAACTCTGGACACCAAGACCACATCTGCGCAGAGAACAGGGCTCCAGTGGAAGCTCAGACAAAGGTACTACCCCTGGAGGGTAAGCCCGGGGGCGGGGGAGGACAGAGCGCTCCAGTGCGATGACGTTCCAGAGCCCAAAAGCTCTGACGTCAAAGGGACTGGGTTGGAATCCCAGCTCCCCCGGCCCTTTACCTCTCTGTGCCTCAGTGTGCCTACCTATGAAATGGGGAAAATAAAGTCCAAACCGTGTAGAATTGTGTACAAAAGATGCTGATATATAAAATGTACTGTTAAAGAAAAACTACTCTGATGCTTGTTAAAACAGGGCGGAAAACGTCATTCGAGACTATCACAGGGGTCGTGGCTGTGGCCAGAGATGGAAACCGTGCTCAACTCTGAATATGGCAAGACAGCAGAGGACGCAGAGCCAAAGAGCACACTGAGGGGGTTGATACATGGAAAAGTACTAAAAGAAAACATCGAGACTAAGGGGAGTCTTGCTAAAGGCACACTGAGGGCTTAGAAAGTGAGGAATGAGGAGCTTGATCCGATATGGGGATATCATGAAGTTCCCCATAAACCCGCTGAGCCTGGGCTGGCAGGCCACACACAGGAAGGGGAGGCCTAGTTGAAAAGGAGGCCTGAGGAGCCCAACTAAAGTTTGGTCAAGGAGCATGTCATCGCTAAGCACTGCCTGACCCACGATAGGCAACAATAAATGGGAAAGCTAAAATTATTACTATCATTAAGCAGTGATGATAAAGATTTGTACCTTTAAAACCCCGTTTCTCACACTCACTATGCAACCTCCTTTCCATCCCCAGGGTTTGATATCTAGCAAGACGGGAGGACAAGAATGGGTGTGGTCGGAGCCCTTCACTGAGCAGTCTTCCCAGTAGCAGCCCAAATGGCTGCACTAAAAGTTCTTAAATCACAGGAAAAGCAGAGAGGGGTGTCCTGGCAGCAATCCTAAGAGTCACAAGGGGTCCTTCTCCCACCCAAGAACAGAGCTGGTGTCGAGAGTCGGGGCCTAGGCTGGCTGGGGCACATGTAGGGCCTTGAAGTCGCATTACAGGGAGCACATACCACGGAGCGCAACGCCTCACGTGGCGATAAATACAAACACCCCTGACACCATCCACCCAGCAACGTTAGATACTCTACAGGGGTGTCCAGCCTTTTGCCATCTCTAGGCCACACTGGGAGAAGAAAAGTTGTCCTGGGCCACACATTAAACACACAAACACTAACAAAAACTGATGAGCAAGAAAAAGGTTTTAAGTAAATTTGTGATTTTGTGCTGGGCTGCATTCACAGTCATCCTGGGCCACGCGCGGCCCGTGGGCTGCAGGTTGGACACCCCTGCTACAACAGACATACAAAAAAAACAAGCCAAACACCTGGAGGTCCACGCTCCGGGAGCTCGCAATCCAGTAGTTGAAGCCCAAGACAATGTTACAGGCCACCAAGGCAGCCAGCACAAAGGGCGGTGACTTCATGGTCCGACGCCCGTTTCCCAGTCCCATCATCTCAACGGCCAGGCTGAGAATCTGCCAAATAAATACAAACATATAAGCCTCAACGACAGTATCCCATGCTGAAAGCAGGCTACGTCCATTGGCACACCCCACAGTGTGACTGGCGTCTCCTCCTTGAAATGTGAAGCTGTTGAGAGCAAAAAGGTAAGTAGCACCCACAGTGGGCAGCGTGGCTGGCTCCCCAGGACTGGCTCGCAGACCTCGGGCAGATAACAATTTCTCTTTTGCATCAGTTTCTTCATCTGTAAAATGGAGACAATTACTGTCAGTGCCCAGCTAAAGCCTTTCTTGAACAAAGCAGGAAAGCACCCCACAGGAGTGTGAATTCGCACTGTGTGTAAGTCGGGGACAGGCAGGGCCTGTGGGGAGAAATGAGGTTGTCATCCTGCTTCATTCCTTTCTCGCCCTTCAGAGCCCTTACCTGTGCAACCCCCGCTGAGCTGCACAGCACACCCACGTTGCGAAGACCTAAGAGCTGCAGGGAAAGCCAAGCTGCTTAAAAGAAACACAAATACAGCTCACAAGAAAGGTGCCATCCATTTGGTTCAGGGACTTCAACTCAATGCCAGGTCCGGCTGGATCCCTGCGCTGGTCACTGAGGAGAGGTGACTCTGCCAAAAGGCTTTTGCTGAGCAGGATGAAACAGGACCTTATCAGAGGGACGGTAATAACCGCTTTTATGCTGGGGCCAGCAATGGGGGAGGAAGGAGACAGGGTCAAAGGAGAAGAGGGTGGGAGAGGAAGAAAGACCACTAGGGATACACCTTTTAAGGGAAGTTTGTGTGAGTGAGAACACAGAAAAGCTGACAGAGCACACTCTTACCCTATGGGAGAGGCCCTCTTTCTTAGTACAGGCATACCTTGTTTTATTGCTCTTCGGTTTACTGAGGTTCGTAGGTGCTGCGTTTTCAACAAAAGGAAGGCAACGCCTTCCACTAGCAAAAAGACTGTGACTCTCTTTCTTGTAAGACTTGCTTCACTGCAGTGGCCTGAAACTGAACCCGCAGTGTCTCTGAGGTGTGTCCATACCAAGACGCAGGCCCCACTCCTCCACTGCTAATTCTAAACGGACTGCAGGCAGGGCCCAGGTGTTCGTGTCTTTTAATCTCCCCAGGTTATTCTAATGTGCAGCCACTTTTCTCAATGTTTCTTGACAGATTTACAAGGAAACAAGACTACTGGCACTGTTCTGTACGTGTCACAAATCACGTAGTAATACATCTTTCCACCCTTTTCCTGGTAGCACATTATAGTTTGCTCTGTTCTTTTCAAAGGGCTGATTCGGGCACCACTGTGAACCAGGATTTACTTAGCCAGTCTCCCACAGAGGGCCATCGGGTTTTCTAGGCGTATTTCCAACAATGCTGCCACAGACACTCTTCTACATCCGCATCTGTGTTTGCAACCTCTTATCCGGGTGCACGGTCCCTGACCCACAATTCGGAAATCCAAATTGCTCTAAAAACACAAAGGAATTTTTAATCACTCAGCCAGCAACAAAACCTGACCTGAAGTCAAATCAAGGTCTGACCAGAACTCACCTGAAGCTACTAATAATAGGCTTGATCCTTCTCCCTTCATGTGACTATTCATATATTTTGCTGCAGAAAGATTACTGTTTGATTGTGGGGTGCTGCTGCAGATCCTCTGGGGGCTGTCACATAATATATAATAAATGCATCATATCATCTTCTGAATTCTGAAAAAATTCTGAATTCCAAACTCTTCTTGGCCTCCAGGGGTCCTGGGAAGGGAGGGGAAACCAGCAGGGAGCTTACTATGGGTGAGGCACCGATCAAGTGCTTCCAATAGGGGGGCTCACTGACTCCACAGTGCGAGGTGGGGCATTCTCACCCCCATACTGCAGAGGATGAACTATCACAGCTGTGGATAAATTTCAGTAAGTGGAATTGCTGGGCCAAAATATATATATGCGTTTAAACACTGACAGCTCTTATCGCCTCTAAAATATTTAGCAAATTACAAAAGGAAAATAATCCCTTTACAGTGGAGAATCCTAGCAGACACTACCTTAGGTGGCCATGTGGTCAAGATTAGTATCACCAGTAATGAGACATGTCAACATCACGGCCCACCTGATAGGAGGCACCAGGTGAAAACTTCAGAGGAAATCAAACTGAAGGCTGTCCTGCAAAACATCTGACCAACATCTTTGAAACCTGTCAAGATCATGAGAAATAAGGAAAAGACTGAGGAACTGCCACAGACTTAACAACTACACAGACATGACAATTCAATGCAAGATGCAATCCTAGAACAGGAGAAGACAATTGGGGGGAAAAGTGGTGAAATTCAAGTAAGTTAGCTGCTTTGGTTACTAAGATAGTGCCAAGGTTAATTTCTTTAATTTAGATACACATAAGGGGAACGTGGGTGAAGGATATATGGGAACCACCTGTACTATTTTTGCAACTCTTTCATAAATTAAATTTCTAACGACATTTTGATAGAGCTTACCATGTCGGCTTCCAAATCATTTCCAATAATTTACCCTTCCACCAGCTGTATGAGGATTATGTTTTCTCACACAGTAACACATGAACTTTTTAATGTCTGGGAATCTCATTAGTAGTAATATTTAAAATACATTTCTTCAGTTATGAGCATAAATGAACTTTTTTTTCATTCACTGGCCATTTGTATGTTCATTTTGGTGAAAGATCTCATAGACTCTGCCCATTTTAAACTGGAGTATTCATCTTACTGATTTGTAAGAGCCCTTTGTATATTAAAGATAAACTAATCTTTGCTGTTTCATAATATAATTTTTTCTCAATTTTCCATGTATTCTTTGACTTTCTCTGTGAAATTTTCTGCCCATAGTTTTTGGTTGTTGGTGGTATTTTTAAAATAACCTTATATCCCTGGCTGGTGTGGTTCAGTGGATTGGGCGCCAGCCTGCAGACCAGAGGCTGCTCATTCGATTCCCAGTCAAGGGCACATGCCTGGGCTGCAGGCCAGGTCCCCTGTTGGGGGTGTGCAGGAGGCAACTGATTGCTGTTTCTCCTGGCACATCAATATTTCTCTCCCTCCAGTCCCCTCTCTCTAAAAAATAAATTAATAAAATAAAATAACCTAATCGTTTCCATCTTTTATTGCTTCTGGATTTTGTTTGAAGTTAGAAAAACATTTCCAACTCTGAGTTTCAAAATATATTTACACATCTCTCTTCTCAATGTATTTAGGGTTTCATATCTATATTTAAATCTTTCATTCACTTAGAATTCCTTTTTAATGTAAGAAGCGAGAAATACAAAGAAAAAGGCTTTTTTCCTCTTTTTTTCTTGGTAATGGCTAGCCAGTTCTTTCAGGACCCTTTATCAAACAACCTAATTTTTATCTCGTGCCTTGAAAAGCTATCTTGGTCACACACCTAATTCCCTAACATTGTAATTTGAGATGGGATTCTTCGATGACCTTTTTTTGTCCCAGCAGACATACGTCAGTGGGCAGGTGCACTTTTAAGTCTGAAGACAGAGTATGAAGTCAGTTCAGTCAGTTCTCCCTTCAAGGGAAGTGTATAGATAGATGACTGTTTAATATTCTCCTTCCTTTAGCCAGTCAATAAAAAATCTATTGAGCAACGATGAGTCAGGTGCTGTGCTAGCACCAGGCAGCTCAGGGCAGCGTTAAGAGAACAAACCCTGAAGCCCAGTGGCCAGTGTCGGATCCTGGTTCCACCTCTCAGGAGCCGCAGGACCCATCTGTGCCTCACTCTCCTCCGCCCAGGGTTGTCCTGAGGCTCCGATGAGCTAAGATATGAGAAGGGCTTAGAACCACCTCTGGCACATTGTAATTGCTCAATAAACATTGACTATTACATTAGAGATGAAAAGATGAGTAACAAATTATTTCCAGATCTAGGCTTTTCCTATTTTATAAGGAAAAGGTGATGCATGTTTTCTTCCCACGACCATTCTACTGAACAGAAAGCAGCCATCCGCGCTCCTCCTCCTGACTGCTCTAATTGTTGCAGCAGTAACTGCCACCACCTGCAGCTGACTCCCAGATGCCGCTGCCGCAGCGGACGTCCCAGACCAGGCCCACATTATGAAAAACAGAGGTTCAAGAGAGCCAAACATAAGTCCAGTCTCAGAAGCCCCTTGCTGTGACCCACTGCTCTGCTGGCCAGCAAGGCGTGGAGCTGCCCAGAGGGCACAGTTAGGAGAGCCCTGGGCTCCCGATGGACACAGGGCTGCCCAGGTAAGAAGGTAACCATGAGGAAGGAAGGGCCAACACTCATCTTGCAGGCCTGCAAACTGCTCCACCACCGCCTTGTGGGACTGTCGAAACCACTGATGCTGAATGTAAAGGGACAGTTACAGAGGCGAAATGACAAAGAACTGATGAAGAAGACTTCGCGCAGTAATTCGGAGCCAGAGTTTACCGTTGTCAAACACTATAAATGCTCTCCTCTCCCCCATCTTAAGTTTAATATATGTGCACTGAGAGGGTGATGAAAGTGGGTGGGAGACATACTGCGTCAGATATATTAATATTCATTTTAATTTAGGCTTCAGACCGTGTTTTGTCTCACATTTGATTACAGGCATCTGAACATACTAAAAAAATGATTAACCTAAATCAACTACACTCTGAAACCCCAGGCTTCCCTGCGGTGAAAGTAGTGTGTTTCTGCATTAAGTCTCTTGGTAAATTGGCAAAGTCGTAAAACACTGAAGATTATTTCTTACTGGCTTAATTTTTAAAAGTTGACCTTCTGGTTAAAATTATTGTTGGCTTGTAAGACAAAATTTTTTATAAGGAAACACAGACCTCTAATTACTTTTTTTTATTGTTCAAATATATTTGTCTCCATTTTCTAATTACTTTTCTTAAAAAAACAAAAAACACGAAAATGGGCAACCTGACAAACGCATCAGCCTCTTGACCTTCCTAGGTAAATGCTTTTTATTTTTACATCGGGTTTGTAATCATATGGGCAAATATATTTGAGCAATCAAACCAGATTAGCTTGTTTGGTCCACGTCACCACTGCCGGACAACGCAGGGGCTCCAAGGCTCCAAGCAGTTGGGGAGCTGCATCTTTATTCCTTCTCAGGAAGTGGCCTCACCTGGATATCCGATTGGATTGCTGCCAGAGAGCCCAAGGAGCAGAGTGTGAAGTTCAGAAGTTACAGCATGAGCAAACAAACCTGAGAACATTCCAGCTCAGCGCGGGAGGGGCGGGGAGGGGGGCTGGGAAGGACTCATCACTGACATTTTCTGGAGGGTTTAAAAACATTCCACCTGGCCTTGAGATGTCGGGTCAGCAAAGCAAGGCCCACGGGCCACAGCTGGCCTGTTGTGCAGATCCAGTTTTACTGAACACAGCCATGCCCACCCTGTAAGTATTGCCCAGAGCTGCTTTCTGGCAGCAAGGCAGAGTTAAACAGCTGAGAAGGAGGTCTCCTAGGGTTACTATGAGGATGGAACCAGATAAAATTTTTATCTGGCCCTTTAGAGAAAGTTTGTCAATGCCTGCTCCAAACCAGGAGGATTTAAATAACCAAGTCCATTTGTTCTTAAATTGCTTTTAAAACTTAGTAGGAAGTACAAAGCATCTCCTCCTCACTTCCCCAATCCACAATTATTATAAACATGTTTTGCCCAATTCTGGAAGCCGATAGTTTATAAAGAGAAGACTTCCAACAGCGTGGTGACTGTATTTAATAATAATACTGTAATGCCTGTTAGTAAGTTGCTGAGAGATCTTAAAAGTTCTCATCACACGAAAAACTTTAATAACTCTATATGGTGACAGATGTTAACTGGATTTATTGCAATCATTTCACATTATGTGGGTATACAACCACTGAATCATTACACAGGAAACCAATATTAGATGTAAATTATATCTGAATAAAATTTTTTTAACTTTAAAAAAATTAATGTGCACATTTAGTTTTATGTAGTGAAAACACCAAGTGATGGATGAGTTAAACTTAATGAGAGGAGCCAAACTCTACCCGGTTTTTTCCAGCACTTGG